TCTATTATATATTATATATTTATTATAATTAATTTATTATATATATATATATATATATATATATATATATATATATATATTAGGATTAGTGAATCTTTGAATTTTATAAGAGTCTTCGTTCGTCGCCTCCGAGAGCTTTTTCTCCGGCTTAGACATTTCATTCTACACTTGTTTTAAACTTCCGGAGTCATATTTGAACGGTTGACAGCTGCCTGTGTATCCCAGATGTTGCCGAACGACAGCGAATCTTCTTGCGAATGTGCACGTGCGTACATACGGAACATTTCGTGATAGACGATATAAGATTGAGTTTCAGAATCGTGTACGCGTGATTCCGCGATTGATAAATACGTCTGCGTATCGCGTGCTATGTGTCGTAACGCGGTATCGTCCGATTGCCAGTTAGATAAGAACCACCAACCACATTAAAGGGGAATTCTAATGAGTTGCGTTTCTGTATATCAAGCGGCGACACGATCGCAATGAAAACGGTGCAAGTAATGAGATAAGCTCGTACACAATCGCCATTGAGCATCTTTAAGCACGGGGGGGAGGGAGAAAGAAAAGAAGAAATTATCTCCAAACATATGTTCAATTTATCATCTATAATTATTAAGTATTAAATTAAATTAAAATTATGTTGAAATAGAAAAAAAAAAAAAATTAGAGCAACTGAGAATCCACATTGCGCTAGGACGTGCGCAAATATACTTTTAATTATTTGTTAATGTTTTAATTTTTTATATTAATTATATTAATGTATATTTTTTTTAATAGAATATTTATATCGATAATCATTTTTATTTTGCGAGTTGAAATTGAAATTAAGAAATTAAGAATTAACGGAAAAATGTAAAAATAGAATTGAGGCAAAGGGTCGAGTTGAGGGTCGCGATACCAACGACTTCTCAGTCTTTCTTCGCGTGGGCTCTTGTTGATCCCTCTCGGCTCGTTTTTCCTCCTTGCCAAATTCTGGATTAACGAGTCCCCAGGACACGCGGACACGTTATCCACGCCAGCGGTTCGTGATTCTGCTTACAGTGGGGTCGAGCACGAGGATGAGGTTTACAGCGTGCGCCAGCTGGCCGCGCGTGACACCGGTGTCGATTTGGTGAAACCGGAGAGACCGTTGCCGGTCTTGGTGCCGACTGCCACTGCGGTCTCGACGACAGACTCGAGTCAAGTGTCGCTGAACGACGAGGAGGAGATTCCCGCGGAGGAATCGGCGACCGTCGACGACGAGTCTCCCAGGAGTGACGATCGACCGCTCGCCGTCACCGCGTCGATCTTCCGTCCGCGTGACGTTGCGAGGGGTTGCGACAACGACGACTCGCGGAAGGACGACGCTTTGCCGAGGCAGGCCCAAGAGGAGAAGGCGTTCGCACGGGCTCTCAAGGAGTCCCTCGAGGAGTCGCTGAAGGAGAACGACGACCCGGCGACGATAGACCGACAGAACTGTCGGCCGTTGTCCCTCGCTAAAAAGAAGCTACCCTTCGTATTCCAGGTACGAGCGGGTAAACTTCTGATATACGAAAATGAAGTGGATTTAGTTTCTTTATCTCAAAGAGATTTGGCAGGCTGACAGGCTGAAAATGAGAACAACTTCTGTTACGTAATAGTTGCTAATTTTTTTTTAAATTTAATTATAAAGTGACATAGCACAAGTAATATATATTGATGATTTTTAAAATCTTTTAAAATCTTTTTCATCTCTGATTATTATTTATTGCAAATGTTTGTGCGGTATCGCTTATCAGTCCGTAATTCCATTGCTTAAACGTTATCATCTTAGGATGATAACGTAAAAATAAACGATATTTCTCTTTTTCGTGAGGAAGAAGAGATATCATACATCTTGGGATAAACCCTCAACGTGATGGAAATGTACATATCATATTACAAAACTGAATCCAGGTGATTCAATAACTTTTAAAGAGACAAAATCATATTTCATTAAAATTAAAGTCATATTTATGAAAATTTAAATTCAATCTTTTTCACTGTCTCACTTTTCAATTACAGTTTATATTTTAATATCGAAACTTAAACAATATAAGAATAAGAATAATAAAGTTCAATTAAAAGAAATAAAAAATTAATTAATATTTTTCAAATTAAATATTTCAATATGAAAATTTATATTATAATTTCCAAATTATTTGTCGTTGATTACTCCAAATTCTATCTCGACAAAATTATTTGGTTTCCATAACAAGCGGCTATGTAGCAAGCCTTAACTATCGCTATCTTCGCTTTTATCTCGAGTTATAATAACACATCCTTGGCCTCCTCTCCTCTAAATCGATCATTGCAATAATTGTTTCAGGGTAAATCGTCAGTGCGCGATTCCGCGGACAGTGCCGGACATCGTAATCGTCCGCAGGCGGTCACGAGACATCTATTCGCGCCGCTCGTGACCGTTGCGCAGCAACAGCAACAGGAACAGCAGCAACAACAACAACAACAACAAGTGGAACCGCAATTATCCTGCCGACCGCCGCCGCAAACGGCCACAGCGAGTATTTTCGCGCCTCGCACTGAGGACATGAACAAGGGCTTTTTGACTTTCAGCGAGGATCAGCCGGGTCTCACCAGTGCGTATTGCGCGAAAGGAAAATTGAATCCTTTCTGAAAGCGAAGGCCAGAGAAGGATTGAAGTCCGTGTTGTTGACTCCTCGCGAATAAAGAAAAGACACGAGAAAAAGAAATTAAAAAAAAAAAAAAAAAAGGAACGTGACGCACGAGAGTTATTTATCGTTTTCTCTAATAATATGCGATATTAATTATCTCGCAGTTGTATTTTTTTTATTTTTATCTTTAATTCGATTATTTAATTTAGTTTCATTTCAGATAGAACTTGATTTCGTTAAGTATTTTTTTTTTTTTTTTTTAATTCGAAAAAGTTCAGTTTCGATTCGTGATTTTCATTCTCCTCTCTGATCATCGTTTAATTTTTTGGAGTTAACATAATTGGCTAGAAAAAGATTGTTGCGTTAAATCACGCTATTTGTGATTCTCAGTGTTGAAGGAAGAGCCGGACGATCTGACGCATCTCGCTCCCACGGCTGGCGACGTATGTGTACTCCTAGAGGACACTCCCATCCTGTCAGATATGCTGGATGAATTTATCTTCGGTAACGATAAGCTCAACTACAGCTGTCCCCTGCTGAGTCCAGGCGACGCTTTGACGCCGGAATTGCGTTCCGCAGACCTCTCGGGGTCCCTCAAGGATGCCGATTTGGTGGACGTTGCTACCAAGACAAAGGACGCGGTTGATCGTCTGGCCGATGGTGATCCCTTCATGTATGGCGACTCACCCGGAAGTCCATGCGGCATTGACCCGAACACGGTGTCGCCATCCCTTTCGAAGTTCCGACAGGTGAGGAATTTGCATTGTTTTAAAATAATAGTGTGAATATATTTAAATCTTAAATCTATAGACTAAAAATTTCTCTCTTCTCAAAAATATAATATTATCATACATGTGTTAATATATAATGATCATTTCAGAGTCCTGAACGCAGCCTGGACTCACTTGGTAGTCCTACAGGAGGCAGCGGTGGCGATGGCCTCTCCGAGGATGAGATGCTTATGTTAGGTATCACTGATAGTATAGGAGACGACGAGTTAGCACTTAGAGCACCATATATTCCGATGTCAGATCAAGACGAGGCATTAGAATTGCTTATCAACGATGACATGGTCATGTGGGGCTCGTCACAGCCTACCGACAAAGGATCCTCGAAGTGGTAAGTGCCTCGTTAGATCTAATCAATAGTACGCTATATAATAATAACGATAATGCGAAAAAATTATGTAAAATTGAAACATATATTAAAAATATAAAAATATATTTTTTTTTCTTATACATCTCTTTGCCGTTTTTTTTCTGACAGGCTACTAGATGATCGAGAACGTGGTTCTGAATCTAGTTTGGCACAATTGCTACGAACCGATCAAGCGGTCTCGCGGCGATACAATGACCACGGCGGAGGCTTGCTTAATCCAACACAGTTACTAGGCCAAACACTCAGAAAAAGTAAACTTCGTCGATCTTCTGTTTTTATTACAATTTGGCATTTTCAATTATTAAATTATATTGATATTTTGATAATTTGATTTTTCTAGTAGATTTTTCTAGTCTGTAGCAATTACATATAATTATAATAACAACTTCTGTGTTTAGTAATACAATTGAAGAGCATCATAATGCCATGATATTAATACATGGTTTTGTTTTGATTTTACAGATACAGCCTTCGAGTCTTCTAATCAGGAACGGATTGACCGTCCCAATAAGCGCATTCACTCCGGTCTCAATATAGATTCCGAGAACGAGTACAAGCGTCTTAAGTGTGAGGACTCGTCTTTCGAACGTATAAATCTCGAAGATACTTTGATGATGAAGCAACAGCGGCTGTCGACAACGCTTCACAAGAAGTCACCGTCGAGTCTCGATAACACCTGCGATAGTCAGCTTTTACGTCGTCTGGTCTCGTCGCAGATGTCGAATATCGTGTCGCAGGCGACAACTTTATCCAACGGCGATATCCGCAGTAGCGGCGAACATCGCGAAGACATTTCGAAGCAGCACGATCGTATCCTCGATGATATTATCGACTTCGTCGAAACGGAGGGCGACCGCGGCGGAGGAGGAGGAGGAGGCGAAAATCGCGGCGGCGACGGCAACGGCCTAGATAAGATCGACGTGACGAGTCGGAGAAGGAATTCTTCCTGCGGCGCTGGCGGCAGCAGTGTGTTAATGAATCTCCTGGTTTCCGGCTGCGATGTGAGTGCGGGATACGTTTGCTTAGTAAAGCCGAAACCGACGAAGAGCACCGCGAACGCGTGAGGACGCTTTCGGGAGGAAGCGAGCATCGAAAGAAGAACCGCCGTTTCGTCGTTGTCGATGTTGTTATTTCAGGATGAAAATTCGCATGCGACTCGAAACGAAAAGTTTCTAGTTGCGCGATATTACGCGATCGATTTTCGTAAAATTGAGAATGTCGATCTGGACAGGAGGGGGCTAGGGAAGATGGAGAACGATAGTTTCTGCGGTATTCGATCGCGATCTCGAGTCGAGGAAGTTCTTCCTACTTTTTATACGTCCGCTTGATTCTCGAGCTTGCGTCCACAAGTTTGAATATCACGTCTAAAGCTTATTATGAAGCTATAAAGCTTCAGAATAGGAAAGAGGAGAGAAGGGAAGGAATGTAAAGTTGCGAGGCCTCGAAGGAAGAGACGCAAGATGAGTTTGTTGCGAGTTGCAGGTCGACGAAAAGGAGTCATAGGCGAGCGAGTAGTTTCGCATAGTCGTTTAATCCTAAAATGCACTGTGTTCGATGTTTTTCTTAGATGCAAAAGAGATATTATATACATATATAGTCTATATAGTTAACTAACACTTTTACTCATATTGAACGTAAATATAAAGTTCTAATGTATAATCAGAGAGAAAGAAAGAGAGATATACATAAAAATTTCACTTATGATATTTCTAGGAATGTATACGTGGTTAGATAATTGTATAAGCGATGCTGCTTTGGAGTGCATCCTAGGATTAAACGAGCCATACTTTAGAGCCACGTTATGTATACAAATTGCAAAGTATATGGAATTGTTGATTAAATGTTATGAAAATACATGCAACATCGAATCACCTAATCAGCTGCGTTTCGTTTCCTCCCACTGTCATCCTTCAATATCCACCGTCATTCTATGATTCGCAATTTTATTATTAAATCTGTCATCAAAAGTTATTATTTTGAATAGAAAAAATTAAGTGTGGTTTTATTTCATTCAGTACACCAACAATTTAAAGTTTAAAATGTAAATGTAAATTTCTTCAAAAAAATTAAAGTATTGTCAGATATAAAAGCGACTAATATTATTTGATAATATATAATTGTTTAAAATAAAAACATGGTTTTGAAAAGAATATTAATTCTACATACTTCCATTTAGAACATTTATTTCTATCCAGCAATTTTAATTAAATAACGATTTTAATTATTTTTTTTCTTGTAAAGAATTAATTATTTAATTTTCTATCGTGGAATGGTTTTTAATTATCATTATTATCATTGGGGAAGAAAAATCAATTCTATTAATTGTTGGACAATAATACAGTCGTCAAATTTTTTATCCGATAAGGAGTGCGATCACGGAGTGGTTATCATCTTTCATAATCTGCACGAGGCTTACCTTTGCCTAGATCACGCGACGCGATAGTCACGGTCACTTTGCTCAACAATCATTCATTTACATTTATTAAACGCTTCTAGAGTCACGCAAACGAACGATGAGAAATGGGACTCTCGAAGGGTGCCTCAAGAGTGTTAAAAAGAAAATTTATCGCTTAATACGTCACTTATCAGAATGATCTCACCCCACCTCTATCCTTTTTCCTTTGTCGCGAAACGCAGCAATATTTTATTTTTTTTTTTTTAAGTCAATTAAAAAGAACAAGCTCATTTCTCAAGTAGGCTCTCAATTATCGTTCTGTCTGTGAAAAATTGAAGAATATTAATATTTAACGAAAAGGCGAGGAACAACGTTAGAGATTTGATTGAATTTAAATTACATTTAAATTCTGCGATGTTTAAAATGAGGAATTTCGATAACGATCGTCTTAAGTTGAATATCTTCAAATTTGCCTGAAACAAAAAATTTCGAAAAATTTTCTTCCTTGTTCGTTAAAAATCGTTAAGTTGTTTTTGCTTTTTTTTTCCCTTCTCTTCCTAAGAACGCGTTTCATAAGAAGAACGACAATCTTATTAACAATCTTATTGATCTCGTCTTTTTTAGGATTCCCTGATGAATTCCCGCAATGTGCCAACCATGTTATCAAGGAACCTAACAACCCCGTTGTCTGTGAACGTGGACAATCAGATGGTACCGCATTGCGCGAACGCGAATGTCAATGTCATGTCTTTGCCCGATCATCTCAGCCCGGATACCAGGAAGCATCTGATCGGATCCTTCTCCGATAGCGGCGGCGGTGGAAGTGGAGGTGTAACCCCAATAATCTCGCCCACCACGTCCGCGATGGCATCCTTCGACGGCTTCGATTACGATGGGTCCGCGGGCCTGTTGCAAGTGGGACCGGAGCTACTCGACGGATTGCTGGATCGAAATCTGGTGTGATCCAACGTGATATGATTTATTGGTTGTCGGCGCATCAGAAATCGATCGAGAAAATTAGAAGCTGAATTCGATATTAATTTTCTCTAGTAAAAGATCATCCTTTCACTTTCTTTTCGCGATACGATTCGAGTATTATTACGATCAATATATTGTTACAATTTTTGTTGTAATCAAATTGTTATCAGGTTGTTGATTAACTTGCTATTGCCGACGTTACACTCAGTTTCAGAATCTGTACAATATTAAATATTGAGAAATACAGAGAATGAGAAATGATGAATTAGAGTGCGATTCAAATTCCGCTTCTAATTTCTGTGTAAATAGTCATTTAATTCCCGGTGCTCTGTAATAATTCATTAAGCATCAAAAATTCCAGAAGTACAATAAATGAAGCGCGATTTACGTTAGATGTTCAAGAGGACGCTCGATCAATGTAAAGATACGAAATTAAGAAGTTAAGTAAGAAATTTTAAGTTTTCAGAATTTTAAGTGATATTTTTAGAATGAACTTTTTTTAATGATTTCTTTATAGTAGTAGTAATAGATTCACGTCTCTTTACATTTTTCTCTGGAATTCGCGTGCGAATGTTTACCAAGTGTGCCAATGGATTCTCATTAGTATGAAACAGATTAGTACGAGGGAATTAATCCATGCGAGCTGCGCGACGAATTAAGCTTGGCAAATGATGATTTTGTGTAAAAATGCAAGTCTGTTAGTCGCGTCAATCAAAGGCTATAGTGTTTATAAAATTATGACAAAGAATTTATAGAATTTTTGTGTGCATGTAGATCTCTTACTTTTTTTCGTGTTTTATAAACATTATATGTACCATAATTTTTTTATAATTAAAATGCGTTGAAATAATAATTTAAGGAAGAGCTCTTATAAGTTAGATTTAATGTTTTAACAAATTATCTCTCTATTTTGTGGAATTTATAATTTTTGTAACATATTCCTCTTCTTAGCTTCTGTTTTATGCGATGGGATTTAAAATATAAAGATAATAAAAGACGCATAATTGTAAATTAAACACATTATGGACAGTTCATAAGATGTTATTTAATAATAATAAAAATAATTTCTAAATTTTAATGTGTTCAAAAATTAGTAGGCATCTGAAATGAAACAATTATAATGAAAAAATTTATTAAAAAAATTTATTGTATAATTATTAACATATTTCTAAGGGAGAAGTAAATGTTATAGCCTTTTAGCGGCTCGACCTGTCTTTTCTAAAAGTTGTATATAAACGATGCATTTATACGCATTGGCAAATTTGCAAATATAAATATAAATATATATATATACATATAAACTGTATAATGAATAGGAAATTTAAATAAAATAGGGAGAAATGTTATGTTGAGAGCAATTATTGAATGTGAGAAAGTAATAATGATTTAGCAGATATTTTAAATGAATAATTGTAAAACAAACAAGAACAATATTATTCGATACTATTTCCATTTTAAAAATGCAATATGACAAATGCAAAAAGTGAAAAGTATTTGTAATATTTATCTTCTTTTTATATATCTCACATAAATATAATTTCAACATTCCTTTAAACACTTTTTCTTTCTGCTTTAGAAATAATGAAGTAATAAGAATACCGATTACTTATAAAATTTTGTATTCTGATTTTTAAAATTGACGAAAAATGATAAACTATGGCATTGTTGCATTTTCAGTTGCATTGTATATTCAATCAGAAATACAATTTCGATTTTATTATTGCTACTGATTGTCATCATCATTACTAGTATGTTATTATGATAATTTCAACTTATAAGTTTCAACCATCATTCATTTGTTGCATCACACATGATTTTATTTTTCATATAGAATTAATGTAATTAGCATTATGTTTACCACTGGAATTATTACTGCAATTATTATCGCGTAAATTTAGACAAACTGTATGTTTTTTTTCTATTATAATTATTTTAATATTATTTTTACATGTCTAATCATATTATAATAGTGTTAAATTAATAGATTACAATTAATATGGATTGGATATCAATATAACAAAAAGATAATCAATATTTAGAAATAAACAATATTTCTAAACTTGAGTTATTTATTTTCTCTCACTTTCTCATCAATTAAACTTTAAAAATTTTAATATGAGTGTTCCGAGTTATAATTAAATTAATTTGAAAGTCTGTGTGAAAGAATTTTGTGAATTGCATATTTATGAATTATATTCTCTTGATTGTTAATTTTTGAAACTTAAAGTTTACATCGATGAAAAACTGCTTAAAAAATTTCAACTGCTTAAATAATTTATCGATGATTATATTCAATATAATATAAAATTTTAAATCAGAAATTTAGAAAGTATAAAAAGTACATATGTAGAGCGCTAACACACACACACACACACACACACACACGTGCGCTGCGCGCGCGCACACATACGTATACTAGCTTTTATGTAATTATGTAGTTTGCATATAAAGTATATATATATATTTTTTTTTATGTAAAATATATAATTACATAAGTGCTAGTACGTGCTTGTTTTTGCTAAAACTCCAATAAATGCGATTTTATAAATTATTAATTTTTAACATCAAAATGATCCATAAAAATTTACCAAACGAGCGATTCACATGCGAACAAATAAGAAAATAGACGAGTGTGCGAGACAAATGGGAAATTGTGTAAATGAATATATGAAAAGTAGAACGAAAGAAAAGAAAGTATAGGTATAGATAGTATGTAAGAGAGTAATGATCATGTATTTTATAAGAGTTGAAATATATAATATACCTTTATAATATGCTTAATAAATAAGCATGAATGTAAATGCAGCGAAAGCAATGTAATATTAAGGGAATTAGACATATAATGATATAAATGACACTTTTGTAATTAATACAAATTTAATAAAATTATTGATATAAAAATAATTGTGAATAAGCATTTCTTTCACATCTGTTATCTAATATAATGCATTTCATTCAGAAATAATTATCTTCAAAATAGAATTAATTATTGACGTCTTTTGTTTATATAAAATCGTTATCGTTTTTATATTTTCATTTGTCAAACAGTTCAAATAAAATGTGTTGAGCGTGTGTATGTGAGAAATATGTGTAAAAATGTAAACTTATTCTTCCTGTGAAAATTGAATTTACAAGAATTAACAATGTTCTTCATAAAAAGAATATCAATATATCAATTTAATGTCTATAATTGTTAATAATTTTTATGACTCATCTCTTCAACAATGTTTCATTTATTTATCGATGATGTATCATACATTTGACGTCTTTCTTCTTATTACGTTTTACAAGAAAACATATGAGTCTATTTTTATTGCGTCAGAACAATTCTGATGCAATATACAAGCGATGTGTTACCGAGCGAAGCCGATAATGCGGCTTTACGGAAATGCCGCGTACAATACGCCCCATCAGAAAAGAGGAAAGAGTAATAATACCGGATGATCATTCCAGAGATTCTCAAATCTAAAAATTACATCATGTATACAAATTCAAAGAATTAACAATCCGTACATCCCTTTTCTCGACGACATTTTTACTCATAGCGTTAAAATCCTTTATATTAAAACTAAAATCGTCGCGCTTCCAAATCAAATTCACTCTTATATTCCATGAGAGAACACGGCGAGAGACGGCCCAAGATTTGAGAACCCCGCGGACGCGGATGACGCATGAAGTTAGACAGCATCGAGCGGCGCGCAGGCCGGCGACGATTGGCGCGCGGCCTGGCGGCGCCAACCAATCGCGATGCGCCACGCTGGAGCCATCGAACGGTATCACGACTACTCACAACCGGATTGCGACATTGCGTTAGTTTACTCCGAGCTATCAGATTGTTCGCTCGCGGTCGCGGTCGCGGTCGCGATCGCTCGCGTGTTTCGTCTCGGGACCTGTCATTTCCATCTGACAAAGAGGAAGAAAGGACTCCTCGACTCGATTGATATCCGTATCGATTTCGAAGTTGTCACGAGGGCTTACAACGCTCGTCGCGTTGATTAAGAAAAACTAGAGGATATATCGAGGACATCGCGGAAGTAGGACGCCCCCGCGTCACGTCACATGGCGGATTATGAGCTCCGTGAAGAGTGTCATCATCACCCTGCCTAAGGGAACGTCCAAGGCGATCCCGAGGAGCGAGCCGGCGCGGAACGCGCTATCCAAGCTGAACTTCACGACGTCGATTTTGCTGGATAAGACGAGGATGGATTGCAGGAAGGTCGCCTCCACGCAACAGGAGGAGACGCGCGACGACGACGTTGCGACGCTTCTCGAACCCGTAGACACCCGCGTCCGCGGCAAGAAACGACGGCTGGATCACTTGACGTGGGAAGAGAAATTACAACGAAAGTAAGTGCGAGTAGTGACTTGAATATTGTTATTGTTGTTGTTGTTGTTGTTGTTGTTGTCTCAGCCGGATATCCCCAATTTTTCATAATCGGAAACGCGCTTGTATATTTGTCTTTTTTTTTTGAAAAAATGTTTTAACATTTCCGTTGCGAATTGAAAATTACTTTCCTGAGATCTTTATCATTTTTTTAAATTTTTGTATTTTGTATTTATTTTGTATAAAAATAATTGGAAATGGCAAATTAAAATGTTTGTATACAATTCACGAGGGAGGGGAGGGGGGGGCATCGACACGGATATGCTGTAATCAAACTGTTAAAAATTCCATGCATTTCTTAAAATAGTAAATCTATTCTTTTGCACCTAAACTTTCACCATACATTTTTTCTTCTTTTTTCTCCAATATCGACAGAGAAATTCAGCTAAAAAGAACAGGCCAGATTTCTAGACAAAGACTGAGGCAGAAAGATACCGTGTATATTTATTTTTTCTAATATCTAGGATTGGTCTAGGATTGTTATCCGTTTTCTTTTTTTAGGACGTCCAAGGAAGTTTGAGAGGATTTTTCCTCTGATATAAGCGCTAATGTAAGCGTTTCATATTGCTCTCTCTCCAAGAAAAATATTATCAATATGAAAATATGAAAATATGAAAATCTTCTTTTCAGTAAAGAAAAGATCATCATAATATAGAAAAATCAGCTGGAGATTGTATCCGGGATTGTAAAGAAATATCCAAAGATTTGGCCTATAAATTTCTAGTTTTGAAAATTTTGATATGCTCAACTCACATTTGTTCACATTGATCCAATTGTTAAATGATAAATGATGGAATTTAATAGAGGTGCAATTCATTGAATTAATAATCGATCAAACTTCATGGCATCCAAGTGAAATATAGGAATTAGTCCTTGCAGATTCATCCTGCATAGAATTACGTCATCCTACATAGAATTACACTAGTCTTTCTCATGATATACTAATTGATTCGCATCAACACTTTAATTTTCTCAAAAATTGTTTTTTTTTTCTGATAAAAAAAAACTTACTGAGTCTGTTTTCTTGTTTACTCTTGTTAGCCGACAGATAAGCTTTATCTTCTTTATCAGCGTTTCTTTATCAGAGCTACGATGTTCAAACGGATGATTTTCCTCACCTCTATCACGGCAATTTTATCCTCAAAGATTCTGAAAGAGGAACGGTTACGTAAAAGACTTCAGAATATTCGCACGAATATAATTTCAAGCAAATTACAGGAATAACATTCTCATGAAACATTTATTTTCCGGATATTGAACGTGCTCGTTGCATTGCCGTTTGGATGATTCGTCCGTCTTGACGTAAACGCAATTATATGATAATTACTAATTACGCGTGGATCTCGGATGATATCGATCTGGAAATAATGAGTTGATAAAATAACTGCGCATTTCTCTTATTATTGGCTGCAGATATAAGATCCAGGAAAAATATGGCTGATAACTGTTAAAACGGAAAGCAATGTTGCATGTTGCATCATCTCCATCTACGTTACATCTACATTGAGAAATAGAATGTAACATAAAGAAAGATTAATTTTTGCGCGCATATCAATTTAATACAAAATATGATTTTAGCTGAATGTTGCAAATACGGAAAAAGAAAAATATGTAATATCTTTTAATTTTTTATCGGTCCGAAATTTATAGAAATAATTCAATCGTTTGTTCTTTGCACAATAGAATTTATGTTCTTTTTTTTTTTACTTCTTTGCGCATACTACTTATTTTTTAATTCTTTTTTTTTTCATTCTTTATATTTATAGATTTATCAAGTATTATTAATATTAAATTAATTTATATAAGTAGCACTACATATATAAATATTTTGTAAAACTCATCTGAAATAATTTTGGATCCGAAAGGAAATAAAAATCTTTGTCGATGTAAAAGCAAACTTTAAAATACTTAAATCGTAATTATTAAATTATTATTATTATTACTAACAACTTCGACAATATACAATTATCAAAATAGGAAGAGAGATAAAATGCTATCGTGTTGGCTATTTAATTAATGTTAACATTCCTTTCGTTCGGCAGGAAATTGAAGAATCGGGTGGCGGCTCAAACGTCGCGAGACCGGAAGAAAGCGAGATTGGATGAACTCGAAGAGACAGTGAGGACGCAAAAAGAAAGGAACGAGATACTCGCGCAGGAGTGCGCGATGCTGAAATCACGAAACGACGTGTTGACGTCACAGAATGAATGGCTATCGAACGAGAATAAGAGGCTTCGGAATGAAAGAGATGCAGTGAGGAACACGCTCACGGATCAGCAGCAACCCATCTGCTCTGCCTGTCGGACGCGTGTCGACGGTGCTGTACCTTCACTGGGATCTGCAGTATCCCCCAATGACCCTCTGCCGCAGGGTGGGACAGCACAGTCGGCATCGCGCCTGACACGAACGCTAGGAGCAGCCACGCTGCTGAAATTTCTGACTCTCTACTTCCTTTTGAAGAACTGTTCAGCGCCATCCAGAACGCCGACGACGAGCAGTTCGAAGAGTTGGCGGAGAGCCTCCTGCGAGAAGTCAGTCCAGAAATTGAAGCAAATCCTCATAGATCAAATGAACAAGTGAGTCTCGGAAGTGTTATGGTCAATATGTAACCGCACTTTATCTCACGTCGCACTTCTCCGAATTACGCTTTCTCTTTTGAAGAAAGAAAGAAAGAGATCAATTTGCATGCTTACAAGTAGTAATTTAGATATAAGAAATGGATGAAATGTTCCAAAGTAAAAACGGAGTTTTAATCTTAGCGGAATGCGATTAGCAAATTTCAATCTCCGAAGAATATGAATATCCGTGAACGTTTCATTCATTTCCTCTGCCATCGCCCATCCTTATGATTTAGTTGTTCCCCCTTAATGACCTGCCGATCGCGCTTCATTCTGCAGGCGTCCGTCAGCGAAGCTCCCGATAAAAAATCTGACCATCCAGAAGCAATGGTGGGGCAGGCATCAGAAAATGTGGAAGCCGATAGAACCGTTGGAGGCTTGAGTAATGCGTCCTCTTGCTTGCGAGACACATCCAATTGGTTTCTTGCTGATAAGAAGAGCACGGTATCGATCAAGACTGAAACAGAAATCAAGCAGGAATCTGAAACGGCAACGGACCTCGACACCGTTTACGGCACCTATGACGAAACTACCAACTCCATCACGATTATGTATCCAGGTGAGGAGAGCGACGGCTGCATGGGTATTCAAGAATGCGTGCAGGAGGTTGTCAGTACCGAGAACAGTAGCGCCGGTCAGCTCGCGGATGACATCGGTGTTGCCGCGCAACTTACTGTCCCCTCCTCGGGTATTCACCTGTGCTACCCGACGAAATTCTCGCCGGCATATACCATGTCACCGGATATGAATGACATGGACAGCTGCGCTCCTTCGGTGAAGCAGACGGATTGCGCTAGCCTGTCAGACGGTGGATACGAGTCCCATGATTCTCCGGATTCACGAGAATCAGACTTGTTTGATTTTTTCCCACCCGAAAGCTTCAGCGAACTGTTTCCTATGCTGGACTGACAGTTCCTCCAGCTAAGGCGTGCCGAGACGAACGCCAGGCCAATGTCGAATTGTTACATTGGTAATATCGGAAACTTTAGCAGTATAGAAAATAGGATACAAAAGAGAAAAGAAAGGGAAAACTGCTTTCGAAAAGTATCATTATAATATATCGAGCGATGTATCAGTTATATATCTAATTCAGAGCAATGAATCAGTTTATCTTTGTGAAGAGCGTTTTCAAGCGAAATAGACAAAAATTGTTATGGAATGAATTTCAAGCAATGATTTCCTGTTGATTATGTAAATATTTTGTAACAAAGATATATGTACCTGAATTTATTTTTTATAGTGAGTTAATTATAACTGCAACATTTTTTTTATTATTTAGGTAATTATTCTATAAAGAGGATCGAAGTATAATTAATTGGAGAGACTTCTAACACATCCTTTTAAGGGAAAGTTCCGATCTTTATGAAAAAATATGTTCGTTTTCCTCCCTTTCTCTTTTGTCATAAATTTCGGATAATAATTTTACGCAACACAAGTAATAGCACAACACACATTATTGTCTCAAATATCGATTGATATTAATAGTGTATCAAATTTTTCATAATGCAAAATTAATAACATTATTATTAAAGCCGGTGATGTTGTTAGCTATAAGAATATATTTTTGTATATATATCTAAGAAAATAAAAATTTTCTTTAATTTATTTGATGTAATAAGATACATGAATAGTTTTCCATAGCCACGACTGGTAAGTTTTTTTTACGTACACATATACACAGATGTCTATTTGAGAGAAATTTATTGTTAAAATTTATTACACATGTCTATATATTGTATATTATTGTATATTATTTTAATCTTTTCACTGTACTACAAAATGCCAAATAAATCTTGATCTAATGGCAATTTTTCATATCCTGACTCTGCATTAAAATATCATTTGTACACGGTAATGTGAATTCATTCTGTATATCTTTCTGTGTAATTATTTCAATTAATTTTTTTTATGTAATGATATGCGATTGCATATGCGGGGATGTATGAAACATGTAGCACAATTTGCGTGATAATGATAAAAACTATTAATGCTATTTAAATATTTTATAAATATGGGAAAGTTCCTAACGTACAGAAAGAGTTTTCGTTAAGGAGATATTTGGTGGCAAAAATTCGATCGTACAAATATTTGCTCGAATGAATACATCGTGTATATGTATATACTAGTACAAGTATATTATTTTATTTTGAATTGCACTTTTTTAAAAATATATGTGTATATTTGTGTAAATTTGTCAAAGTATCATTAAAAATAAAATAATATAACTGTAATTCGTGTATTAGATCTTACTGATACAAATTATTAATAATGATAAAAACTATTATAGCACCCTTTTCGTTAATCCTTAAATGACAAACTCGAACTGAGCAGTTTGAGAAACGCGACTTTCCATGTAAAGTTCTATAAAATGTTCTAGAAGACAAAGATTATACAAAGTTTCTTTCGTATCTAATTATTTTTAATAAATTTAAATTTTCTTTTTCTCTCACACTCGCGCGATTTTTTAATTTTATTATATACTTTAACAATTCATACTCTTGAATTAAGATTTTTATTAAAATTTATTCTATATTAATCAAATTTTTGGAGATTTGAACTTATACATGCATGGAGATAAAATACCTTGTTTAATTTCATTTTCTCTCAAAAGAAGAAATTAAAATATAATGAAATATACGATCTCGTTAATTTAAAAAAATAACGGTCATGACAGAATAGTATATTCTTTAGTCTTTCATCTTTTATAACAATTACAACCCTACTCATGATTTTGTATATATCTAAAGATGAATATTATTTAAAAAAATGGAAATTCTAAAAGGCTAATTTAGACAAAGTAAGTCCTCGTCTCGCGCTTTTATATAGACAATCAAAGCAAGTATTATCGTATACTTATCTTATTAGAAATGATAAAACAATGTCGAGAGAGAAACAATGTCTCGTTTCGTTATATTACAAAAAAGAAAATAATTCCGTAGAAGACGAATTATTTATCCGAAGAGCTTGTCAAAGCAGCCATGGCAGTAAGGCTTATCGTTTTGTTCCTTAAACGTGCCCTTGTTCAATTGTTTTAAACAAAACGCGCACACAAAGTGCTCGGGATGGAATTTGCGGAACATTGCCGTTATGCAGCGACCTAAAAACAAAAAAATATTAGCATCGTATTAAAGATTTTAAATTTCAATGATTTGACGTATTCACCGGTAATAGGTTTGTGACAGCCCGCGCACAAGGATCCCCTTTTAGCATGATAATGTGTCTCGCAATACGGTAATCCTTCATGATCGAAGAAGGAACCGCCCTGAAACTTCTGTCTGCAATCCTGCAACACGAGAAATGCGGATGCGGTTGAAAATTATTATAAGGAGATATGAGTTCAATAAACTGACAAAATTCTGTAAATTTAAAAAAAATTTGTTTTTGATTTAAATATATTTATATCTCTGAAAAAAATGTTAAGAAAATATATGTAAATGTTATTGTCACTAAAACAAATAGGAATATGTTACTAATATAATAATATAGATAGAATCAATAATGATAAATAATTTCTTTGAAGAAAAATTGTTTATGAATATATAAATTTGACATATGAAATTGAGAATATAGCAATTTAGAAATACTCCGTATATACTATATTGTTCGTAATTTCGATCTCGTGAATGAAACGAAATTTATATTAACATTAAACATAACACTAAATAAAAATGAATAATGGCTCTATCTTTATCAATAGATAATGAAAAAAAAAATATAGTACTGCCAGATGAATCGAATTTTTAATATACATTCACTTGACTCGTTTCAATTAACTTTTGTGTGTGTGCGTGTGCATTCGCGCGCGAGCGCGCGTAGTTTTACACAC